CCCACGATAACTATTATCATTAAAACTTTAAAAAAATTGCTTTAAATAATTTCAAGTTTTTTAGTAACTTACTAATATAATCCTGAAAGATATAGATAAAAGGTTTACAGTGAAATATTGTTTAAATTTATATTTTGATTATATTTATTTTCAATAGATTTAAACACGTCTATAAAGATAAATATTACTATCACCAATAATTCACTCGCTATTTAAATTAGATTGTGTCTGGATAAAATTATAGATCAACTTAGATAGAAAGCTTGAACTTGTTTCCAGTTCGAGAAAATACCTTCGCTAAGAAAAAGCAGACTTACAATACACATACTAGATTATTTTCTGATAAAGATAAAAAAATTGATGAGGATCTGAAAGAAGATTCTTTTGAAGATGATCTATTAATTTTTTTAAAAAAATAAGGATTATTCATTAATTTTTAATAAATTCTCCCAATTAGAATTTTTATTTATATAATATAACTCTGCCATCCTCTGCACAAGTTGAACGTGTTTAGCACGGCGAAAGATGTGTTGCACTCTTAAATTTTGAAAATCAATTGTTAAAAATAAATAACATTATTATATATTATTAAAATATCGTATCTTATAATATGTTACTTTTGTAAAATTTTATTTAGATTTTAGATTTTTGAGGTCTTAGCGAATTTAAGCATTTAAATAATGTTATTGAGGATTTCATATTGTCATAATCAAGATTAATATGAATTTTAAAAAAAATAACTTCACTAAATGTTAACTACTATTATGCGTTAAAAATTATTATTAATATTTACCAGAGTTGGGCAATACCGCAAATACTTGTATCTAAGGTACAAGATATAAGATCCTTTTGTATCTTGTACTCAATATCTTTTTAACATTTTTAAAAAGATACTAGTATCTGTATCTAAGATCCTTTATTCTGAAATTAATATTGTAATATATATTTTCTTGACAAAAGATACAGATATAGGTTCTTCTTAATATTCTTGTTTAAACAATTTACATATCACAGATTATAACCTTATTTTTTTCGACAACCAAAATTAGGTAGAAAATTTACAACTCCTTAAAGATAGATAGATAAAAATTAACAATATCAAAATGAAATAAGTAAAGAATATATTTTATATAAATTAAATGTAACTCGAATGAGTATAATTATCAATTTTATGTAATATTTTTCAATTTGTAGGATGTTTAACACTCATGGTAGTGAAAATAAAATTATGGAAATAAGTTCCCCTGAAAATCCCAATCTTAAAATTTAGATGTCAAATTTTTTAAATAATTTAAGCCAGAAAGGATAATATGAGGCTAAATTCAAACCTGTACAAACAAAAAAATGATAAAAGGTTCAACAAACTATAAAAATTTTGTTAAACATATTAGTATATTATTTATATGATAATTTTATGTTACAATATAATTATATATTATTATTTTTTTAAATTAGCCATTTAGGCATCTACACCCAATATAAATTGTATCTAAAAGAGCAAAGAAAAAAACTAGCTAAATCTACTACCATGAAAAAAATTTCAGCCGGTTCACTTAATACCATTAATAAAATAAAACCAATAATTACACAAAATAAAATTGATATGGCGTAATGGGAAAATGTACAAAATTATGGAATACAAGTGGAAGCCGAAATTTTCTTAAAAGATAAGGGAGATAACAGATGGGAATCAGCTAGAATTTCCGGCATAATCAGATGGAATAGCCTATACGATAGTGTAACTTCACTGTTTAAATATAAATCACATTTTAATTTTTGTTATATTATTGTTGTTTTTTTAAAAGAGGGTAATATTTTATTTTAAAAAAAAAATTTTCACAAATTTTTCATTTACAAATTATAATTAAAAATATTATTAAAAAACAAATAATATATTAAAAATGAATTAAAAAATATATATGTATAAAAGAGAAATGAGATAAAAAAAATAAAATTTAAAAATAAGGGTACAAATCACCTTAGAGAAGAGTGAATGCTTAAAAAATTGGACCGGCAGATTTACCTGGCGAAGGTAATATCCTTCATTGGGGTCCTCTGAGATCTGCCTCATTTTTTTCCCTATAGTTTTGATGAAATTGAGAGCATCACTTCCGAACATGCCTAGGGTATTGGTAACGATTGGGATAAACACGGGATTGGTGAGGCAAGCATATTTGTTTTTTTAGGATTTTTGCCTTTCGATTGCAGAAAATGAGAGGTTGGACTTGGCGACAAAATCGACACAGGTATAGTCCCAAGCTAGTGGGAGACCATTGGTCCAGGGAATGAGAGATATGCCATCGGAACGTATGGCGTTTTCGTTTGAGAGGCCCACTGGTTCGAGGGTGGATGGAATATTAACTTTTTTAAGAGCAGCTAGGAAGATGTTGTTAATAGATTTATGACGCGGTTGTCGTCCATGGGAGAACTTGCAGTACAAGGGATAGTAGGCTTTCGATTCGATGGGATGGCCACAGTCGATGCAAATTGAGGGAACCACGGCATTACAGCCAAGGCGGAGGGCTATGGAAATGTGTAGCTGTTCGCCGGTCAAGAGGAGGCCAAGATTGGAACTGGGGATGGCTTCCAACCATTGGTAACCTGAGTTTGCATATAATACTAAATTATTGGATTGTCCTCAAAGGGCCTGTTCGAAGGTATTTAACGGAACGGGCGATCAGAAAAGCATCCCAGTCTTTCTGAATGCTGGAAGCCGGACGACAGAGGGTGAGTGAGCAGTTACTGTCCCAAAAGGTGAAGGCCTGCAAGAGGTCAGTATCTGAAGGAGTGGATCCATTATCGATGATAGGTTGTGCAGCAAGACGAGATGAGATAAAGGCTGAGAGGGAAAGATGTATAGGGGATCGGATACCAATACCACCAGACTTGCAGGAAAGGGTGGCCTGAAGCCAAGATGAATTGGAAAATTTAAGGTTTAATATGTTTTTAAAAAGACCCTTAATTTGGGTTTCACATGAGAAACGAGCAAGTCGCGGCATTTAAAGATAGGAGAGGATCTCAGGGCGTAAAGGACTTTAGGTATGTTGAAATAAATAATATCTTATTCCTGTTTCAATAATATTATTTTCGATTGGTATTTTAATGTTTACTGTATAAGGCTATATTTTTAGATTGTGATATGTAAATTGGACATTAGTTTTAATTTACTTTGAAAGAAATTTAATTTTGTAAAACTAATTACATACACATATATAGTATATATGAATTGGATGAAAAATGAAATTTTTTTAAATAAAATTTATTTTGAATAAAGTTGAATTTACAGAACCTTTTAATCTCAATTTGCAACAAATTTATAATTTAAAACAATTTGTCCGACAAACTACAAGGGCAGTTAAGAAATTAGTGCCCATATGGTATTTGTGATTTAAAGGGACTTATGTAAACATTAAAATTTAATTGCAATATTGTCTACCTAAGATGGTATGGGCAAAAGATTTGGGAAATATCTTTTCTTATGATGAATATAATGAGGCTTTTTTGGCATTATTATCACATCTATAAGAACTTATGAATTATCCCAATGATAAAAATAAAATTCTTTTATATAATTAAAAGAAGTCCTAAATGTAGTACGAGTATTATATAATTAAGCTCAAACTATACCACCAGGATTTAATATCTAATATTGAAAATGATGATTATTTTTCTTTTGGTGAAACACATGTTGCTGAGCTCTCCGAGTTCAATACATAACATAGAGCTGGAGGTTTTAAATTATTTAAAGACCGTCGAAATACATTAGTTATGCTTAATATCCTTTCATTATGGAAATTTTTAAAAAAATATAATACTATCTTAATCAGCTCCAGTTGAAAGGATATTTAGTTTTGGCACAATGTTAAATGTGCCGAAACGGCCAAGGCTTTAAATTATATAAAAATAATGATTTAATTAATCTACTTTAAATTCTTTTGCAAATTAATATTTCAACTCACCTTAAAAATACTAGCCTCCCTTCCTGACTATGCTATTATAATTAACTCATTATTTATTCTATTAATATTGTAAATATTTATTCTTATGTTATGTTCTTCATCAATGTATTTTATATACTATTCTAAATTGTTAATGATAATTTTATAAAGCATCTTGAATGTAAGATACTCTCATTTGGAAAAAATTTTGAATATGATACTAATATCTGTATCCAAGATTCATTATTTTTATAAAGAATCTGTATGTAGATTCTCTTTCCTGAGGACCTGCCTAACTATGATATTTACTATCATTCTTGACTGCCCTAACTAGTTTAGTTTATAACTATTATAATATTTCATTTATTTGCTTAAAACTTGTTTTAAAAAAATTGTAGACAAGCTATTATCACAGGTAGTGAAGATTTGAGTTTTAAATGTAATCAAGATTAGTCAAGATATATTTTTCTATTTAAATTTATAAATTATATGTGAAATCATCGTATGTTTTGATTTATGAAGTTAAATTTTTATATTTAGATTTATAAATTCTATTTTTGTGAAATCATTCTGCATTTTGATTTTTGAGTCATTTTTAATTTACATAGTTTTATTATTAGTGATAAATATGATTCTTGGTTTTTAATTTTAAAGAAATGTATTTATAAATTGTTATTTTTTTACAATTAGAAGTTCCCCTATAGATAATAATTCATGTTTTTGGTTTAAGTCCTTGTAAAATTTATAATTATTTTTTTTTGGATTCATATTTGGAAATAAAGTATTGGAATTAATTTTGCGTTGAAATTTGATTGGTATTCATTCTCAGAGGTCACAACCAATAGCTAGATTATAAAATTTTATTATACCATTTATATCTTGGATATTTTTTCAGATAGCTACACCATATCGTACCCATACAAATCTCTCATAATATTTTAATTATATACAAAGAATTTCTAGATATGAATAAAAAAAGGAAAGAATAACTTCGAATTATTATTTTTGTTTTCTTTGAAAATCAATCTATCTTAATAAATAATCTCATAAAAAAATTCCATATTTTTTTCAAAATTCATTTTTATTTTGCGCAAAAAATTAGACAATCAATTATTTCTATAAATTTTAAAGAATGTATCAAAAAAAATATTCTTTTTTAAAAATATTTTTATTCTGAAGGATATTCTATATTCGTCATCTCTCCTTTCTCGAGTACTTTGATCTTTATATCCATAATAGTGACGGGTACCTTTGGTTTATCCTCGGGGGTAGTTGGAACGGATTCGATTTTTTTCAGAGTTTCCTTTTTTTGTTTAAATATGGATGAATGATTTAAACATGAATTTTGTGATTATTATATTTATAAAGATTAATACTCTCCTCGAGTATTTATGGCCAGCTAGCTACCTACTAAATCAATATTGAATTTGTTAAAGGAAATTAAAGATAAAAAAAACTATTATCTACCTTCATTTTTATATAACTCATGGTTTAATTATAATCAATGGTATGAATGAAGGTTTTATTTTGATTTAAAAATGATTAATAAAAGATATAAGCTTAAAGCTACTGAAAAATCCAGATTATAAAAATTAACTCATAATTCCAATTTCTTGACTCAATGCATCCATCGATTTCTCCCACTTCTACATTGATCACTTTATTACTCTAACATATGAAGCCATCTATTATTAAAATTGATGTCATTATAATAATGTTTTTTTCTTCTCTTTTTTCAATAAAACTACATTTCCTCTCCTCTTTATCTTTGTTTTTCCAAAAAAATATTTTTTTTCTATATATTCGCATTTCTAAAAAAACCATTTTTCCTCCTCTATATAATATATTCGTTTTTAAAGAAAATCATTTTTTCTTCTATATTCGTTTTTCAAAAAAACTTTATTATCTCTTCTAAATATTCGTTTTTCAAAATAAAAAACATTTTTTCTCTTCTATATATTCGTTTTTCAAATAAAACTTTTTTCTCCTTATTCTTTGATGGTAAATTGACCACATATTTCATATCTCACAACCCTTAGCTATTTACTCAAATTCCATATTCATCTTTGGACACCACATATATTCTCTTGCTTTATTCTTCATTCTTCCTAAATCTTGATGTCGACATTGCTGTTAAAATATCTTTTCTTAAAGACTTCGACATAATTAATCTATCCTCTCATTAAACAATTATCTACTATATCACTTCTTATAATTTTCAAAGTTTTTTCTTCACTCTTCCATTCTTCATCTCCTTTCATATATTCTAAAATTCTCGTAATTTCATTATCTTGCAACGATGTTTTGCCTACTGTTACTAGATATCCTAGTTAGTAATATATTGTTTTGTTTATATGAATATATTTATGTAATGTCAATCATTTGTTAATGACATTTCATGATTATTGTTTTTTGTAAAAGGAATTTTTTAATTCATTATTAGTGATTAAAATTCAAAAACAATTAATTTTTTTTTCTCTAAAAATTTAAATAAATGATAAATTTTTGATGATGTTTTACTATTTAATAAAAAATGATTAATTTTTATATTTTTACTATTTAATAAAGATATAGTTTTGAAATTGTTGCATTATTTTGATTCTTTTTGTCCCCTCATTTGGGTTCCTTTGATAATTTTTAGAGGTAAAGTTGTACGATAATTTTTAAAAGTACTTTTATTATTAGATTTTTGAAAGTAAGTTAGTTTTTTTCTTATTTCTGTTAGTTATTTTCCATTTTTTGTTACTAGAGTAGCTGGGTTTTCTCGTATAACTACTCTCAAGGCTCGTATCATCATGCTATTTATTTCTTTTTCTTCCTCTACTTGATCTATTCTATTAATTTTGTTTTATAATTAGTTGTCTTCTATTTTTTTTAATAGTTTGTATAATTTATTCGGATTCTCTGCTCTTTATCTTATTTCGAAATCAAAACCACCTACTAATAATAACCTATTTGTAATCTAGGTGATAACATTAATTATTTATTATCTTTCTTAAATAAATATACTAACGGCTGACGATCCGTATACACGATAAACTTCTTCCCAACCATGTATTCTCTAAACTTAGTTAGCCCAAACTTAACCTTTGTTATTGTTTTCCTTAGCACTGTTATATTATTTTGATCAGAAAGAAGATAAAACAAACATATAGCAAACAAGATCGAAAAGATGCTGGGTATGTGGAGGAGCGCATTTAAAGAGAGGATGATCAAAAATGACTTTCGCAGTGATAAACGAATCAAACATGATAAGATCCAAAACAACAAGAAAATGATGGAAATACAAGAGAAGTGCATAATGAAAGAAGTAGAGAGCTAAAGGAAAGGGTGTAGAACTAGATTGAAAGAAAATAAGTTTTTGTGAAATTGAGACAATTAATTAGAATATTATATTTGTAAAGATTATTTGAAATGTTTGAATTTTCAACTATACAAGATCGAAATTTGTTGTTAATTAATTATTATTAGAGTTTTTCTGATTTTTGTGATAAAATTAACAATAAATTAGTTTTGTTAATTCTGTTCGTTTTTAATATATTAAAGTTTTGTGTGATTTTCATTAAAAGTTAATTATAACTCTTTAATTTCTTTATAAGGAACATGTGTCATATATTAAACATTCCAGTTATTTTCAAACTCAATATCGGTTCGTTCCAGTTTTCATAAGTTTTGGATTTTTAAATCGGAATGTATTATTTTATTTTAAATAGTCTGGCAAAATTATATTTAATACTTTTAATAATAAAAACCAAAAAATCTTGGAAAATATGTTTGATTTTTTTTATTTTATTACAAAACAGGTATAGGAAATAACAAATTAAGTAATAAAACATAACCACATATAAATTTGTGCTAATTTATTTTTAATAATATATTTTAAATTATGCCAAATTTTTTAAAGAAATAATTATAATTTTAAATGCCGTTATATATAGGGTTAAAAATATTTAAAATTTCTCTATCTCAGTTTTATCAGTAACAATTATGGTTGAGAAATATCAACTGTGATTCAGCCCGACACTAAATTATTATATAATGCAATTAATAATATATTTTCAAAAAATCGCATAAAACTAACAAAAGAATTCAGGTTGGTTTATCTTATTTGACTTTTTAGAAAAAATATATATCTAGAAATTCTGCATTTCCGATATAAAATCCAAATATTAAAATAATATATGGTTAACAATTATGACATGAAACAAACGTTAAACAACTTAATCGTATGACGATGTGAAAATGGAGATTGGGAAAAAAATCTTAAATATTTTATTTTTTTATATTTCATAAAATAAATTCTGTGGTGTCAGCCACAGCAAAAAAATAGTGATACTTGTAGATTCTGGTTAAAATCCTAACAATAAAGAAGGTAAATGACTAGGTTAATATTATAATTATTAATAATATAATTAAAGATATTACTATGATATAATTATTATTCACAGTTAATGAAATTTTTATGAATTATAAATATACCATGCCACCAATAAGGGCCCCGAAAACGACGTGTTTGTTGTCCAACCACGAGGTTTTCGCGGTTGTTATAAAAAATTGAGCTCCATTAGTGTTTGGACCAGAATTGGCCATCGAAAGTACACCTGGCCCATAATGAGGTATTTTAAAATTCTCATCATTGAACTTGGGAGCGTTCCAGGCTTTGCCTATTTTATAAAAAAAATATATTAATTATTTTATAAATATTAATTTGGGATGGAAAATAGTGTGATATAGTCAGATTTTGGCAATACCGCGATAATTTTATCTAAGATACAAGATCGTTTTGTATCTTGTACTCAGTATCTTTTTGACATTTTTAATAATACTAGTATCTGTATCTAAGATCTTTATTCTGAAAAGAATCTTGTATCTTTTGCATTTTCTTGACAAAAGATACAGATTCTTTTTAATTAAAGATGCACCGATATTTTTTATCGGATCGAATCCGGCTGATATTTCACCCATTTTAAAATATCGGTTATCTACCAATATTATAAAATTTTCCGATCCGATCCAATATAAAATGGCGTCTTTAACAAAAATAAAATGTTATAAAATTTAAAAAAAAGTTATATCTAAAATAATTTATTTATATAAATAAATCGAAATCCATTTTTATGTATATTTTTTTAATAATAATAATTAATAAACATTCTGCCATATTGTTATTTTTTTGAGTATTCTGCTTATAAAAGTGTGCGATAATCTCTTCAGAATCTGTTTTAGTGAAGCTGGTGATATTGACAGACCATCGCCTTAGGCTGACCTCTGATAAATTGAAAATTTTGGTATTTCTAAAAAGAAATCTTCGATATATTAATGTAAATATTATTTTAAATATTTATTTCAAATTATAATATATTTGTTTATTACTTATTATGTATATAGATTCATGACTTATTATATAAAAGTGATTTAACAATAAAAATATATTATATACTTTTAGAATTGCAATTGAATTGAATATAAAATATAACTGATCATTATAATATATTTAAATATCATAAGTTATAGTATAGTTAAATTATAAATGTTATAATAGTATATTAAAAATTAAAACCATTGGTATCTTTACAGAATACAAAATTAGATATGATATAGGATCGGTAATCGGCCGATATCAATTTAATATCGGGAATATCGGATCGGCCTCCAAAAAGTGGTATCGGATGTTAAAAAAATTTACATATCAGATTAACCTTAATTTTTTGATAATCAAAATTAGTTGGAAAACTTACAACTCTCATAGATAAAAATTAACAACATCAAAATGAAATAAGTACAGAATATATTTTATATATAAATTAAATGTAACTCGAAAGAATATAATTAGCAATTTTATGTAATATTTTTTAATTTGTATGATAATTAAAACTCATGGTAGCGAAAAAAGTGAAAGGAAAATTATGGAAATAAGTTCCCCTGAATCAAATATCAATATATGTAAAAATTTTTAAATAATTCAAGTCAAAAGAAAATGTATAAGCTGTTAAACCTGTAAACACAAAAAATGATAAAGGGTTCAACATACGTTACTACAAATTTTGCTAAACATATTATAGTTAATTATTTATATGATAATTTTAAGTTATAATGTAATTATATGTATACACTTTTTAAATTATAAATACTATTTAAGAATTTCCCAAAATAAAGCAAATTCTACCAAAATAAAAAAAATAATTCAACCCAGTATATCTTCATTTAATGCTATTAATAAAATAAAACAAATAATTACACAAAATTATGGAATGCAAGTGGAAGGCCCAAATCTTCTGTAAAGATAAGGGAGCTAACAGGTGGTAATAAGCGAAAATTTCCATGCATAATCAGTTGGAATAGCCTACACGATAGTATGACCTCACTGTTAAAATATAAATTACATTTTAATTTATTATTTGAAACAAGATATTGTCCTATTATATAGTGGATATTGTTAAGACAAACTACAAGATCGAGTAGTACAGAATTAGTGCACATGCTATTTGTGGTTAAAAGGGACTTAAGTAAACTTTAAAATTTAAGTTTGCAATATTGTCTACATTAAAAGCTGTACAAGATGTTATAAGCTAAAGAATATAATGAGGCTTTTTTGACTTCATTATCACATCCATATTTTAAGAACTAAATGAATTGAGTTGGATGATTAAAAAATATTCTTCAAAATATATCATTAAAAGAATCCCTAAATAGAAGTATATAATCATGCTCCAACTATAACACCAATAGTTAACTTCTAATAAAGAAGATGATGTTTATTTTTCTTTTGGTGAAACAAATGCTGCTGAGTTCAATAATATGGATAACATTGAGCTGGAGGTTTTAAATTATATTAAAGACCTCGAAATACATTAGAAATGCTTAATTATTATCCTTATTAAGGAAACCTTTTTAAAAGTATAATACTGCAATACCTTAATGTGCTCCAGTTGAAAGGCTATTTAGTTTTGGCATAATGTTAAATACGTCAAAACGGCAAAGGCTTAATGATAAATTATTTGAAAAATTGATTATCTTAAAAATTAATGATTTGATTTCTATTTTAAATACTCTTTTGCAAATTAATATTTCAACTCACCTTAAAAATACTAATCTCCCTTCCCTGATTATGCTATGAATGGGCTAATAATAATGATATGCCTGATTATTATAATTAACTAGTCATTAAATATTCTATTATTGTAAATATTCATTCTTATTTTATGCCTGTTATGCCCGCCATCAAAAATTGTATTTTATACTATTCTAAATTGGTAATGATAATTTTATAAAAGTATCTTGTATTTAAGAAGTATTTAGTAGTTATTTTAAAAAAAATTATGTTATCGCCATTATCTCTACTAATAATAAAAAACATATTGTATAAATAATCGGAATTTTCTTCGTAAAAAATAATAAAATCGGGTTTAAACAAACATTCGTATACAAAATTAATTAAAAATATAAAAGGGAATCCTATTTGTTAGGGGTGTACCGATACCACTTGGAGGTCGACCCGATATTCCTGATATTAAATTGATATCTGCAGATTACCAATCCGATATCATATCTAATTTTGTATTCTGTAAAGATACCAATGGTTTTCATTTTTAATATACTTTTTATTAATATAACATCTATAATTTAATTATACCATAACTTATGTCATTTAAATATATTATAATGATCATAGATTAGTTTATATTCAATTCAATTGCAATTATAAAATATTTTTATTGTTAAATCACTTTTAAATAATAAGTAATAACATTAATCTATATACATAATAAGTAATAAATAATAAAATGATATTTTACATTAATATATCGAAGATTTCTTTTTAGAAATATCAAAATTTACAATTTATCAGAGGTCAGTCTGCAGTGATGGGGACTGTCAATATCAGTAGCATCACTAAAAACAGATTCTAAAGAGATTATTGCACACTTTTATAAACAGAATGCGAAAAAAAATAACAATATGACAGAATGTTTTAACTAATTATTACTATTAAAAAAATTAAACATAAAAATGGATTTTGATTTTATTTATAAAAATAAATGGTTTTTTAGATATAACTTTTTTTATTTTTGTTAAAAACGCCATTTTATATCAGATCGGAAAATTTTATAATATTGACTGATAACCGTTATTTTAAAATGGGTGAAATATGGCCCGATCCGATAAAAGATATCGGTATATTCCTAATATTTGTTAAAATTTAATCAATATTCCCTAAAAAAATAATATTGAAACCATATACAAAGATAATTCCAAAAGATTCTATTCTGTCAAATTATATCAATGAGGAGAAAAAATAATATTGAGACACGATATACAAAAATAATTCCAAAAGATTCTATTCTGTCAAATTATATCAATGAGGAGAAAAAATAAATTCTATGGTTAGAAAGGTTTCTATATATTATAGGCTAACTTGTGTAGCTGGCTGACAAGTGTCAAATAACATTATACACACGTATTTTAAATTGACTACTACGAATATTTATCTAATAAAATTGAAAATTATCTTTAAACCTGTTGATATCAAAAGGTTCAAACCAGATCACATGAGTTATAATCCCTGGTTCAAACAGCCAAGCTAGGCCTATTCAAAAACTAATACAAAATGAATTTTTTGTATTCGATTCTTTTAAACAAATTGAAAGATTATTTATTTTGTATTTATACCATCGATAGAATAGTAAAATGTACTATTCATACAAATACAAATTAAATTGTTCAAAAAATGCTTTTGAATGAGCCTAATTCCAACTATTAATTATGATAAAATATTTGTTTGAGAAGTTTGAATTAAGGCATTTGCCCAAATAAAAAATTAATTAAGCAAGTTTTCAAAAGTGAGGAAAAAAATTAATTTATATAAGGTTTTACATCCAAAAATTGTTTGCAAACTTTAAAAAAGAATTGCATTATAATTTAAAAAAAATTTGGTGTATAAATTTTTTTATTACTTAAAGATAATATACTATTTAAAAAATTATAAACAAAATATTATTATTTACCGCCTGTACCATCTCCCCTCTCATAATCACCACCTTGAATCATGAAATTTTTAATTACACGATGAAAGCTAGAATTAATATATTTTGGCTCCTTTATAAGTGTATTAATTATATGTTAATAAAATGTAATATTACATGATCAAATCCAGAAAGTTTGAGAAAATTTTCAACAGTTTTTGGGGTAGTTTTACCGAACAGCCCTATAACCATTGGTGGAAGTATTTCATCACCCATTTTAACATAAAATTCTACCTATATTCCAATTCATATATATATATAATATTCGTTATAACTTCATGGGTAATCAGCGGTCCTTTTTTAGCAGTAACTAGGCCATTATTATATATAAAAAGAAATATTGCAAAGGAAAGTGCTAACATAATAAATAAAAAATGTGTCAACTTAACGTGGTTAAAAATGATTGATTTATGAATATATGAAATTCTAAATCATAATGATATAATAATACTTCGTGCTAAATGGTAGCGTAACAATATCAAATTAAGTTTGGTCCATTAAGCTAAAAGTAACTTATTTGTAATAAATATATAATATAATACTAAATATTAATTTTTTTTTCTGCTAAAAACATTGAGTTACGTTTGGGTATTTTATATTGATAAAAGGTGTTAGTAATTGATAAAATTTAATTATATCTTTATCAAGATTTAAAAAACATTTGAGGATTCTTCGTGAATTATATTCGTAAGTGTTGCCTTATTAATCAACAACCTTATATCTATTTGAGTTCTAAAAACATCCAAAAGAAGGATAAAGAAATTTATTTTATTAATAAAATGATATAAATTAGCTATTTAGAAAACTACTGTGGATTAAATTATATATTTAATTATCAAATCACATTTATTAATTAAATTAGAATATAGTATTCTTTTTTATAAATATATAATGAAAAACAATTAGTTACATTTAAATAATAAATACAAATTTATTACATATCCTCCAAAAAATTTTAAGTTAAATCTAACCTCTTAACTGCATGTATAAATGGGTTAGATGTTGAATTTAATTTTTACACTGGTGCACAGCGTCATTGATCGTAATTGATATATGGAGAAGAATAAGACGACCAAAAATTAGGCCAACTAGTCCATTGACTTCATATGGTGATCATCCATTATACGTTAAAGGCGAGACCCAAGTCTAGGTTAGGACTGGATCACGGACAAGCCCTATTTGTGGTAATTATGAACATAACTGGGGTGCCTCTTTTCGGATTATCTTACTAGTAGAAAGCCCGTCAAAAATGACGGGGAATGAGATTTTTATTCATTTTTTACGATAGATGTCATGCCAGGTTCACGCTCACAATATTAAGAAGCATCCAAGATCTTATAATTTTAAAAAGGTTTATCAAGCCCAGCTCAACCCTTGATAATTTGTAAAAGATATTACCAAGTCAGGTGCAAGCTAATATTAATTTTGATGTTCCAAGCCCGGTCCTACCCATTATAATTTTGAAAATTTTTTCCCGCCTCGGAGATAGTTTAATTTTTAATATCATCACATGAACGGGGAATATCTGATTTACCAATTAGTCTAATATGGTAAAAAAACATGTAAATTCCGTATTAAGGGAAACTGGGAAGGCCTGGGAACCACTTATTAGAGAATCATGACAAATAAAATAAAAATAACCGACTATTATACTTTTTTTAATATGATCAATTAAAATTATATCTAAAAAATATGTTGTTTATTATATAAAGTTATTGTTGTTTTTCAGATAAATTTAATATATGTCTTCCATTTCTGAAATTATTTGTCAAAGAATTTGATAAGGGATATATATTTTTTTATGTTAAGTGTTATGTTCTACCTCCCCTCCCCCTTTGTCCCGTACAACTTATATCTTTTGTTTTCCCAACTTCCTTTATTTTGTTATGAAATTGATATATTTTACCTTATTTTTATATTGCATTTGAAACTGGTTCTTACCAGTTTCATGAATGATTGTATCGCGATTAAATAACAACTTTTTTTTTCCTTTTTGTTTTAAAAATTATAAAGGTTGAAAACAAAACACCTTTTTGGATCATTAATTATTTTCGTTCGTTTTGTAATTTGAAATTTTTTTGTAATTTTACTTTGTTGAATAAACTTTGAAAATATTATTTTAACTAAGTTGTCCAAGTGATTCCAGGACTAAATCGATAAAACCCGGCCCCCTGGATCCCGTCATCGACCATCCCGGACCCCCGATCACGGACTGTATTTTTCCCATTCAGACTGGGGGCCCATCGGTCCAAATAATACATTAAGTAAAAAAAAATGCTGTCTATTTAAATTACAAAAATGCCCTTAGATACTAATGAAACTTATATGCAAATTATATATATATATTTTTTAAGAAAATATTTTTTATTGACATATAAATTTAGGCTAATTTTTTTTTAAAATAATGAGGAATAATTATTATGTTGTGTATTTGATAAAATTAAAAAAATCCTTGTTGACATTTTAATTTTTGATGGAAAAAGCGACAAAATAAATCTGGGCGGTCATCTGGAGAGGAAATAATTAATATATAATTTTATATCATTTAGGGTTGTAGATGAATGTGATGTCGGATTAACAAAGTGTACAAAACACATTACGTCCTGATAAAGATGATATGCCTATGCCTTGGGATACTGGTAAAAGAAGAACGCAAAACGATATTTCTGTCAATGTCAGCATTGGTATCCCCCTCTAAAATAGAATCATGAACGACAATGTTAACTCAACCATAAAACGGTCGTAAGTATTGTTATAAAGGCCACGACAGAACTACTGCATATATTTCCATTAATAAAGTTGATGAAATTTGCCGTACTGTACATTCAAGTTTGAACACGCAAAACGATATTTCTGTCAATGTCAGCATTGGTATTCCCTTCTAAAATAGAATCATGAACGACAATGTTAACTCAAACATAAAACGGTCGTAGTTTTGTTTTAAATGCCACGACAGAACTCTGCATATTTTTCCATTAATAAAGTTGATGAAATTGGCCGTACTGTACATTCAAGTTTGAACATTCCTCTAAATATTCATGAAAGTTTCTCAGAGAATCGGATAAAGTAATATTTATATTAACTCCTAGTAAAGTGAATGATAGTACAGAATTAAATGTTTATATTTGTTAAAAAATAGGCGGAGGCAGCGTCTACATGGCAGAAAATTTGATGGAGGCAAACCCCTTCAAAATCTACCCATACCCACCTAAAAAAAATCCTGCGGCCTTCGGCCGCTAAATTTACAGACCTACGATGGTATAGGGATTTTATTTAAAAAATCTTATCTGCCACCATTTATAACCTTATAACATAATTCTATTTACAATCTTTCAAGCCTATTTAGGGAAAAAAAATTTAAAAATTTGTAAGTGATAATGAACTTTATTTAAATAATGCAATCTTTTCATAATTTGGTATTCACTTTATTTTCATAAAATATATATAAGTGAATTAAATGAGATAACATATTAATATTTTTATGAAAAAGATCTAAAATATTGTAAAAAATATAAGACGAATAAATTTAAAGAGGTATATTTAGCTTGATTCCACATAATTAAAAACATGTATTGTAAATAGAGCTATTATATAAAATATTAGAATAAAATGAATTATAGTATATTTTGCATTGAAATTATAAAATCTTAAATTAAATATACACTATTTAAAAGCCTATATATTCGCTGTGAAAAAGATACATTAATTATTTTATTAATAATTTGAATAACCTTATTGATGTTAAAGCAAATTGTGTTATAATATCATCAATTGTAAATTTTTCAAAAACATCAATTTCGCTGGATATTAACAGTAAATTTTCCAAAAATGGGTCCGAAATTTTATTCCGCATTCGAGTTTTGTTAATTTTTACTTTACTCATGGCTCTTTCGGCTGAACAGGAAGTTGTAGGAAGGGTTAATAAATATTTATATAATAAATTTAAATTTGAATAAGAATTTAATTGATTTAAAAGTCGGTATGGTAATATAATAGAAAATTTTATCCATTTTTTTATTTTGGTCATGATTTCGCTGTTGATATTTTCTTTGGTAATTTGATCGTTTGCAATACCTTTAATTATATACAATTACAAATAAAATATCAATAAATTACTTTCATCAATATATAACGCGTCATTCTTTTTAACTTTTAAAAGATCTTCGCAAAAAATGATTGATTGAGACTCCAAATATAAAGAGCGAAAATCATTATAATAATCAACAATGTTTTGGACATCCAATTGATAAGTATTACAAATTTCGGATATTTGCCATCCTTCTATTTTTTCATTATCCATAATTCCAGCGGGAGTAAAAATGGATATCTGTGATAAAAAATTTAAACAATCATAATTAAATCGATCATTTAGGTGATTAATTATTGCATTTAGAATAGGGAAAAATATTTCCGTTCTATATTTATAATAAAAAATAATAATTTAAATTTTTTTAATTTATTCAACTTGTTTTTTTTTGTTCAACATAATTATTGAATTCTGTTTGATCCAATTTGAATATTGATTTCATATTATACAAATCAGTTATTCATAAAATTATATAACTCATCTAATATTCCCATTGCCTTTTTCATTTCAATTTTGCATCCACAAACATGAGCAACTACTAAATTTAGCCGATGTGCATGGCACCAAATATAGATGGCTTTTGGAGCCTCTTTCAATATTAAAGCCTGCATTCCTTTGTATACTCCTCTCATATTCCCTGCACCATCCATACTTTGTCCAACCAAATAATCAAGAGGAAGACCAAGATCATTAAACTTAGAAAAAACATGTTTCTTTATATTTTCCCCAGTAGTTTCTGATGTTGTAAAAACATGTATGATCCTTTATACAGGATGTGGATGCAGATCATCTTCTATATACCGTACAAGCAAAGCTATGCATTCTTTTTTAGACACATCATATGTTCCATCTAATATGATGCTATAGGCACGATTCTCTTTAATTGTTTGAATAATGCTTTTTGTTATTTTTATCTTAATAATTTCAGTTATTTTTTTCACGTGGCCATATGACAGTAAATTTATATAAGGTCTCGAAATTTTATCTGATTTTTTTCTCCGCAATTTTTCGTTGTTATCCATGTATGCACGTAAAGTTGGAACCGTTTTTGCCATTAATTTTATGAGACACATAAAATTACCTTCATTCGAATTAGAACCCCAAAAGGCTATATTACATTTTATAAGGTACATAATGGCATTGATAATATTATGAACTATATTACGATTTTCCATGATTATATCAAGCTTATTTGATAGCAAATGATCTTGAATGCGTTTATTTGCAAGCCAAGTCATGTTTGCATATTCACAATCTTTATGAAGAGAAGATGCTTCGTGTCTCTCTAAGTCACGCTTTATGTTTTTCCAATTATTTACCCCATGTTGAGTCCAAAAAGTATTGGACTTAGGGCCACCAAACATAATACAATATAGACAAAAGACTTTGTCTAAAGTAGTGCTATAAGATAGCCAATTTCTGGGGTTGAGGGAACCATCTATATTAACCTTTCTATAATAGGTTATATTCATGCTCCTGTTTAAAAAGTAAAAAAAAATATATTGGTATAGAAATAATGGATGGGTAAAAATTAATAAAAATAAATATTATTTAAAACCTCTTGTTAGTAACAGGATATTGAAATTTATTTGTACATGGCTGACAAGGGCCTACAGCAATTATGAAATTTATCAAAATATTTGTCATCCTAAATAATATAAAGTGAAAAGGGTCATTTGGTTCCTTTTTTTTGTATAGCTGAATAAGACTTGGACTTTGAATATCCTCATAATTTATTCCCTTCAAAAGTCATTATATAAATTTTATTTAAATATAATGCCTCATGCAAAGTAAGTGCCTCACTAGAACCGGGGATTGGATGAGGAGATAATACAATTTGTGAATCTTCAATATTGGAGATTTGCTATAAATAAAGAGTATAATTTGTTTACTTATGAAAATCTATTTTTAATATAATTTCAGCCAAATGGTCATTTTATTCTTAGCTACATTATAATTAAGTTAATCAATAAATGTTGGAAATATTTAAATGTCCTAATTTATTTTCTTCAAAAGTTATCATATCGTATTTAAATTAAATACCTCATCATGCAAAGTAAGCGCCTCACTGGAACTGGGGATTGGATGAGAAGATAATACAATTCAATATTGGAGATTTGCTATAAAGAGTATAATTTGTTTACTTATGAAAAACTATATTTTTAATAAAATTTTAGTCAAATGGTCATTTTATTCTTAACTACATTATAATTAAGTTTTTAATAAAGGTTGGAAATATTTAATTAACCTCATAATCATAATTTCTTTCTTTCAAAAGTTATCATATAATTCGTATTTAAATTAAATACCTCATCATACAAAGTAAACACCTCACTGGAACTGGGGATTGGATGAGGAGATAATACAATTTGTGAATCTTCAATAACTGAGATTTTCTATAAATAAAGAGGAGTTTAATTTCTTTCCTTATGATAACTATATTTTTAATAAATTTTTAGGCAAATGATAATTTTTTTAACTACATTATAATTAAGTTTTTAATAAATGTTTTAATTCTACATGAATACATGATTGAGAAAACAGGTATTAAAATTATTATGAAGTCTAACATAAAGTTATCAGGTTACAATGGAAAGATGATACAAGTAATAGGTAAAGCACAAGTGAATGTAGAATACAAAGGGAATTCACATATTTTGAACGCAATAATCATAAACATCAATATGACTTTGTTAGATCATGTAAAAACATTTTTAAAATATACTTGAAAGATTCATAGGCATGATAGATGCAGATTAATATAAAACTGCGATCACATGAAGAAATCATAAAACAATATTATAATGACTATAAAAATAAAAACAATATTAAGTATAAATAAAATTGTGAAATTCATGATGAAAGTATATTATCTAAAGAAATTCTAATAGCTAAATAAAACAATGATAATAAACATACCTAATATAACACATAATGTAAATAAAGGGCATGAAACTCACACAGATAACATTTTGAAAATAGTTGATTCCAAATCATATTTTATAAGATTTATATTTAAAAAAAGTAAAAGAATTTGAAGTCTTAATTCAATTAAAGATGAAAAGATTTAAATTTAAAAATTCCTAGAAATTAACATTACCTTATTTTACTACATTATATTAACTTAATAAGTTTTTTTAATACTTTGGTTTTAAATTATTATTATTAACTTATTAAACATATTGTTAAATTGAACTTTATAAAGTATATATAGATATAAAAATAGTGTGATAAACAGTTAAAAAACATTAAATAATAATATATATAATTTATTTTCTCTATACCCTGACTACTTTAATATTAATATTATTCTGGTAAAATTTTAAATCAGTTTCTATAAATTCACAAATTTATAGTTACAATAATAAATAAAAATATTACTTTTTGGAAGTAAGATGTTATTGTCTTTTTTTTGCAACTGGGTTTCAACTCCATTTGTGATATTATATGGAATATCACAATTTAAAGATACCCAATTATTATTATCTCTTTTGATGGCTACCTTTGTAAATTTCATATCAGCTGGCTTGACATGAGGATGTTTATGTTTATAATGTTCATGTATCTTGTCACTTCTTATTTTAGAAGTTTTGCAATTTTTAATATTGCACTTAACTTTAAATATGGTTTTGTTACTTGGCATCTAGAAAGAAATAATTATTATAATATAATTTTTTACATATTATGTTTTTTATTATTCTTTGCTTGCTGATATATGTTTTTATGCATGACTCAAAAAATTAAATAAAATTTATCCTGCTAAAATCTATAAATTTATTAAAAAACATAATATAAATATATTAACCTCTAAGAAAAGTACCAAATAGGAAATGTGTAAATATTAACTTGATAAAATGCTAAATGAAAATCGTTGACAAAGAAAATTTATATTATTTATTAATTGACAAATATCTTTACTTTAACTGACATTTTTCAGAAAATCAAACGATAACCATCATAATCGTATCAATTAATGGATTAAAAAAAGATTATAATTCAAATCAAAAATTACCCACCAAAAATCAATACCTACCCCCAAAAAAATAATGCCTACCCCCAAAAAATTATTATCAACCCCTTAAAATCGATACCTACCCCCAAAAATGCTAATATATTTTGGAGGCATTTGTCTCCTACCCTTCCCCCCCCCCCGGCCATGTAGACGCTGGGCGGAGGCATAGGGATTGTGGTAGTGGTGATAGTATAATTTGGAGAACTGGGTGAAAATAAAATAAACATAGATATAAAACATAATATAAAAAAAAATAAACCTCCAGATGAGTTCATTTCAAACGTAGTTCTTTATTATTTTGCCTACCAGTAACTCTAGAATGGGTAAGGCGATTGTTTAATCATCATTATTTTCTTTGCTTATCTTTAATAATAGATTCATCATGTTTTGTAGCAATGTGAGGGATTAGGGTTAGTCTAGACAAATAAAGAAATCAGGCAAAAATATAAATAAACTATTGTTGAAATTAAACAAACATTAAAATAATGTAAAACCGGTATATGGGTCAATATTAGATGCATATTTCTAGTAGTTGGAGGGCTATCATCAAAAAAAATTTTTGGGGGACTTATCAAGCCTATTACGATATTCTAAACATGATGAATGTAATGTTATTAACATTAAGGTTATTTAATTGTAAGGTAATTAAAAAATAAGATTAAAAAAGGGGGGGATAAAAGAAGGTATAAATTATTATATTATAAAAATTAAATTAAATTAAAGGAATTGATAAGGTTTGGCTATCATCAAAAAAAATTTTTGGGGGACTTATCAAGCCTATTATGATATTCTAAAAGTTAAAAAATAACATGATGAAAGTAATGTTATTAAGATTAAGGTTAATTAATTGTAAGGTAATTAAAAAATAAGATTAAAAAAGGGGGGAAAAAGAAGGTATAAATTATTATATTATAAAAATTAAATTAAATTAAATTAAAGGAATTGATAAGGTTTTGAGAAATAGTGGTTAATAGATAATAGAGATAGAAAGAAAAGAATGAGAAAATAAAATTTAGTGATAAATATAAGAAAGAGTTATTTATAAGGATTGGAGATTATAAATATGTTAGGATAAGAATATTTAAATATTTGAATATACTTGGTTATCTTCTTAATTATTGGTTATGAAAGAAAAATATGAGTATAAAAAATTGTAATGTAAGTACTGACAAAAATTGTGAGTATCTTCAAAATATATATACAAGTTGAGTATCTTGTAGAGATTTCATTAATGTGTAATTGATAATATGAGATGAAAATTGATAAGGTAATCTAAAAAATAAAGAAAGGATTAAGTAAAATAAAAAGTTTCATTCATATTTACGAAGTTAGCGAATATTGTTTTTATCAAATCAAAGACGATTTTTCAAATCTCTCAATCCATGTTAGGTATGTGTACACCATCAATTCTCGAAATTCCATTCATCTGTTTGTAAAAATAAATAAATAAAATCAACGAATAAAAAAACAAAAATAAATACGTATCGATGACATGACGTAGCGATGACATGACGTCACGATGCCGTAGTGAGGACATCGGAAAATTATAATATAGATAGCATACAATTTAGGAATGCCTCGTCAAGTTAAGATTATACAAGTGCTCAATTCAGTCAACGCTATTGACCAAAGAAAAAATGTTGCATAGCAGTAGATTCAAGAATTCTAGATTTGGTTAATAAACATCAAGCAATTTTTGATGATAAAATAGGACATATACGTGATTTTTCAGTGTGATAAAATTTAAAAGATACCGCTGTACCAAGATTAATGTATCATTTCCATTAAGCAAATCAATTGAAATGGAATTAGACAAATAGTGGCTGCGGGAATTATAGAAAAGATTGACTCGACTATAACTAACTAGGATACAGTGCAAAGCCAACCAATGGCAAGAATAATGGCTATACTCGAATTTGCGCTGATTTTAAAGTTACGCTTAATTCTGTTTATTGTATCACCATCATATTATTCCTACCTTAGACGATTTGTTAGAGAAAATCTAAGGTGGTGATTAATATGCCGAAAGATCTGAAAGATGCTTATTTACAGATGGAATAAAATCGGAATCATAGGAATTGCTAACGATAAGGAATCATAAAGTGTATTTCAGTTAATGATGATTGCCTAATAGATTGGCAAGTGTACCTTAATATTCCAGAGATATATGGATGAGTTGCTAAAAGATTGCCAATTGACTGGTGCCTACTTAGATGACGTAGTCAAAACGATTAGAGCACATAGAAAATTTGCGAATCATGTTAGACAGATTACAGATGTCTGGTCTTAAGGCTAAATTGAAAAAAGTTAGATTTTTATAAAAATCTATTTTTAATAGTGATAACTGTTAAATTTGATATACATCCTAATCCAGAAAAGGTGAATTCTATTCGATAAGCATAACAATGTACAACAATTTTGATTTTTTCTGAATCTCGTTAATCATCATGAACGTTTTATTCGTAATCTACATAGTAAAGCGGGGCGATTATATAGATTAACGAGCGTGAAAGTACCTTAGCGGTGATTGAAAAGATGAACAAAATTTCTTCGATGAGGTTATTGTCTTCCCAGGATACCATAATTCCTTATAAAGCGTCGTTGCTTATAATTTTGGAATGCGACGCATCTGGTTCAGGATTAGGGGCTGGGTTGTTACATCAATTAGTAGACAGAAAAACACAACCTATTTCGTTCGAGGCACGTACTTTAATAGAATAAGAGAAACATTACTCTCCGATTGATTAAGAATCGAGGACTTTTATTTGGTATTAAAAATTTCATTTATTTATTTATGGTAGAAAAATTTCACTTCAAACTGATCAAACCATTAGAACGATTATTTAGGGAGAAACGTGATCTACTGACACGTTGGCCCTGGAATATGGCTTCTTATGATTTTATAATAGAATTTAGACCTGGTTGTAAAAATGTAATCGCCGACGTTTTATCAAGGCTTCCGATATTAGACATGGAAGAGAATTATGATTGTAAACATGCTTTGGAGATTCGAAGTAAAAAGGTTGACATGCAAAGATAAAATATTATTAAATTCTATAATCGACGGGAAGAGGTGTTTGTCGATG